AATGTCAAAGCAGAGGAAGTGGAGGATGCTATTTATCATCTCTGCACATATTCAACTCCAGGTTCCTAATGTCAATGTAATGATCCAGTATTTAGCCTTTTCTGCAACTTTTTTTTTTTCTCATAGGAAATGACTTGAGCTCATTTTACATCCTTCAAATCTTTAGATGTGTTGACAACCTTTTACTGCTCCTTTCACATTTTGTTCTGGTTCAGCTTCTTTCAGCGTCCTTGTGCAAATTCCAACTTTTTTCCAGCTACTTTCACCTAGTTTTTTTTTTTTTCTGCAGCTGTTTTGTGTTACTTTTAGATTCTTTTTGCTACCTAAAACATGTTTGTGTTTCTTCTAACTTATTTCTGCTAATTTCAACTTGTTGTGCTCCTTTCAGCTTATTTATGCAAGTTTCAGCTTTTTGTGCTATTTCAGCTACTGTTTTGGTGCTGATTTTAGCTTTTTTGGCTAATCCCACATTTTTTGCACTCATTTCAACTTTTTTTCAGCCTAATTGAGCAGAAATTTGCTATTTCCACTTCCTTCTGGCAATTTAAGCTTATTTTAGCTACGTTTTAGCTGGGGTTTTTTTTCTGCTTATTTAAGCTTTTTCCAGATAAGTTCCACTTTTATTGCTCATTTCTGCTTTTTTCAGCAACTGTGTTCTTTCTTATTTCTTCTGCTAATCTAAGCTTGTTCTAAATTTTCAGCCACTGTTTTAGCATTATCTAGCTAATTTCAGCTGTTTTTAGATAAATCCAACATTTTGTGGTAATTTCTGCTACTTTCAGCCTAATGAACTTTATTTCTGCAAATGTCAGCTCATTATGCTCCTTTCAGCTTTTTTCTGCTAGTTTCAGCTTTTTCTGCTATTTCAGCTAAAATTTAGCTGTTTTGTGCTAAATTTAGCTTTTTCAGCTAATTCCACATTTTTTAGCTCATTTCAGCTCCTTACTCTTCCTTCTGGTAGTTTAAGCTTCTTTCAGCTTTTTCAGCTGCTTTTCAGTTATTTTAGCTAATTTCAGCCTTTTTAAGCTAATTTATTAATTTTTGTGCTCATTTCTGCTTATTTAAGCCTAATTCAGCAAATATGGGTTCTTTCTGCTTTATTCTGCTAAGTTGGGCTTGTTCTTCCATTTCAGCTACATTTCAGCATTTTTTTTAGCTTATTTCAGCTGTTTTCAGCAAGTTCTTCAGCAATAAACATTCACACTGCATTTTTGCAGGAAATGCAATTTCTCTAGTTGCTTTATACTCATTTCTGATTCTTTATTTTATTCTTGCTTTTTTAATTAGAAATAGAACAAATCTTAAATACTTGGTCATTTAGATGCAGAATTCACATAAAACCCACCTTTAAGCAATTTAAAAGCAGCAAACCCTTAACACAGATGCCGAAGAGAACAGAAGGGTTTCATTTGAACCAGTTGGCGCCGACTGGGTCGGTTGGACAATAGCTTTTCCAGTAAAAGTTTTGCATGAAGTTTGATGTTTTTATTCTCATGGATGAGCAACTTGTGTTGTTGTTGTTTTGGCGCACACATCTGCAGCTATTCAACCGCAGAAAAATAGAGTGAAAAATGAGGAAATGTAGGCATGATAATCGAATGATTTGAAGCAATGGACGAAAAATGTTTTCTTATTAGTTAAATCATTTTAAAGCTGTTTTCTTACGTGTGTGGATTATTATTATTTGTGCCATGTGTTTCCATGACAGAAATCAATCTAAAGTTTGCGTCCGCTTTCAAAGATAAACTGTTGACGGTGGTTTAATTAAGAGCTGCTGGAAACATCTCACCTGCTGATATGAACGTTTTTTTGTTTGTACGTTTCCGTTTTTTTCTGCATTGCTGTTTTTAAATCATTTCAACGTCAACTTCATTGTTTATTTGCTATCCCACAAAACTTGTCTGCAAGGTTCTTAATTGTCATTCACATCACATGTGGTACATGAAGTGGAACAAAGTTATGTCCTCAGGGTCCCAGTTACACCAAAAAATAGCAAAAATATAAAGTATAAAAATAAACAGTAAGGATCTAAGATCTTCACCAAGATATACGCTAGGGATGCTATATGTATTGCTAAAAGATCTGAAATATACACTAAACACTAATAATGTAAAATAATACAGTATATTAAACAGCAGCCCGAACATGAGTCTGTCAGCTGAGATAATCAACTCTTCGTTAACCCGTTAAAAAAATGATTTAGTGTTTGCTTTTTAATTAGTGGTAAATTCATGTTCATGTATATAATAGATTTTTTTATAATATATATGTATATATATATATATATCATTTTTAAATAAATATGATACATTTTATTTATTATTTTCTTGCTAAAAATTAAATATGAATGGAAATCCTAATTATTACTTCTTATTACTTAATTATTAACTTTTTCTAAATTGTATTCATTCAGCTTGTTTTGAATATCAGTTTTAATTAGATAAATTAAAACAATTTAAACTTAGAAATATCCAAAACAATATTTTTGTTGATGAAACCCATTTGAAAATATGTAAATAAATCCTTTATATCAAATTTCTGTCGTTTTTTTCTGCTTATTTTCTTTCATAAGAAATTTTGATAAAAGTATACAATAATGAAAAATCAAATTTATTGATGTTATGTCATTCATCTTTTATTTTTTATTTCCTCTGCTGCAGCTCCTGACTTGTTGGTGCAGGTGTGTTGTTTTTAGAAGGTATTCTTCCACATACCTGAGGTGATTTTATCTGTTTAAACAGGTTTATCTACACTTTTACACATAAACTTTGTAAAAAAAAAAAATCACATTTTTTCTTCTTTTCAATGAAAAGTAAAGTTTTTCTCAACCTGCTGCTGTTTCTTGTGTTCCTGTCATTTTTTTCACCAAAAGCAGAGAAGTTTATTCTTTATTGTTGGCAGATAAATGAAATGTTCAGTTAATAATTATAAACTATAAAAAGCTGCTTTTTAAAGGCAGATCTGTTTCACTTTCACAGTCAGACATTGCTGTCATTTCTCGACTGAGCCTGAGAAACTCCCCTCCGACTCCTCTCTTGTCTTGTGGGACAGTTTTGGACAGTTTTACTGAGAGACACGTCCCCATGGTGGTGTCGGTAAGAGGAAAAGATCAAAGAGAGGCAGATTGAGCACGAGCTGCACGTTCCCCCCGCTGCTGCTGGAGGTGCGCTGAGGATGATGATGATGATAATGATGATGAGTCGCTGCTTAAAGTGACTTTAAATCCCTTCTTTTCCTCTTGTTTTTTTATTAAAACAAACCTAAAATAGAATCATCATAAGTTAGTAATTCTCTTTTTCATTTATTTAAAAAAAATTGTCTGACTGAAATAAGCCCCAAAAACGTAAATTTCTTCTTTTTTT